TTTGTTGCATCTTTTCTGCATCTTTTTTGCATTTTGTTGCATCTTTGCTGCATTTTGTTGCATCTTTGCTGCATCTTTTCTGCATCTTTGTTGCATCTTTGTTGCATTTTGTTGCATCTTTGTTGCATATTTTCTGCATCTTTGCTGCATCTTTGTTGCATCTTTGTTGCATCTTTGTTGCATCTTTGTTGCATTTTGTTGCATCTTTGCTGCATCTTTGCTGCATATTTTTTTCATTTTGTTGCATCTTTGCTGCATCCTTGTTGCATTTTGTTGCATCTTTGCTGCATCTACGAGCAGCCAGAGGTAACCAGTGGAGTTTAATGAACAGAGGGGTGACGTGAGATTTTTAGGGCTTTTTTGGGACTGATTTGAGGCCTTCCTGACTCTGAACTCTCTCCAGGAGCCTGTCCTTCCACAACGTCTCGGCCTCCGACGAGGCCATCGTGGGGCTGCTGAAGGCCATGGACGGCGCGCCCCTCACCTCCCTCCGCATGGACCACGTCACGCTCACCGGGGAGGGCAGGTGGGGAGCCCCGGGCCTCCGGCTGACCTTTGACCCCTGACCCAAAGGGCTGGGGAGCCGCGGGTCAGCTCTGGTTTTGACGCCAAACAGAAAGAATCGAAGCTCACTTTGTAACCGAAGCCTCTCGTTTTGTGAACTGGACCCCACTAAGGAGTTTTCCTTTTTTTATATATAATTTTTATTTCAATTTTTGCTATTTGCATTGACACATTCATAAAGGCTCACATTTAGTCTCCTGCTCTTCACTTATGATATACTTAAATCAACTTTAAAAGTATTTGCATCAGGTTAAACTTACAAGTAAAGTAAATGACATGATTAAACAGGAGGAATATTCAGTGAATTACATTCGTATGAATGAATTACATATAATGAATAAAATACATATAATATAGTATATGTAATACATGTTAATACATAATACATATAAAACTTAATACATATGAAATACACATAATGAATTACCATATATATAATTAATAAGCAATAATAATTCATTAATTAAAGAAATGCAAATGGAGATATATGAGTTTAATTAAATAAAAACAAAACAAATACATTTTATACATTTTTTTGTTTTGTTTTTTTAAATCAAAATACTGAGACTGCATTAGTATGGTTGTGGCTCTAAACAAATATGTCTTTTTGAAGCCTCAGGAAGTGTTATTTGTTCCATATGATAGATTTTCCAGAGCTTTCACTGAGGAGTTTTTAACAATTCATCATATAAATCTGAGGCAGATTAGCTTTATAAAAATGTTGTCTGAAAATTTTAAGGGCTGCAGCCTTCATGTAGACGACCACTGAAGGACCCACAAGGGTTTAATAAGTCATTTAGATTCAATCTGAACTTTGGTTTAATGTCTAAAACCTGAATTAGCCTTTAAAGACATATCACAATCCTCCTTTTTTAACTTGAGAGCATAAATGCGAGAGGTCCCGGGTTCATATCCCGGATGAGCCCTTACAATCAAGTATAGACTGCATAAACAGAGCAAAAACGTGGTTAAAATAGAGGTTTCATGGGGGGTTAGTTCAGTGGCACAGCATTTGACTGCAGACTGAGAGGTCCAACGTTCAACTCTCAGTGCCCCCCACTTTGTAAGTCACTTTGGATAAAAGCGTCTGCTAAATATATATCCTCCTGAGAGCCGGCCCATTCATTTATGTCCATTATAGTGGACATTTTGTCCACCTGTACCCCCCCTAAATATCTGGAGTTACCCTATCAAGCCCTATAGTGTTCTGTAGAGCACATCCTGGGCTTTCCAGTGATGTGCCATGTGATAGGTTTGCATGCTGGGAACTTTACTTTTTTCCTAAGAGTTCCTAGGTAAATATCCCTTTCAAGACATCTTCTTTTTTATTATTTAATTATCTAAAGCCTGTTCTATTTTCCCATGCAAATCGTCCTGTTGTCCTCCACAGTGGACATGCGATGAAATTCAAATTCAACTTTTTTTTTTTTTTTAATTAAATTGTAATGTTCTTTTTTAGGTCCAAATACATGGAAAATCACAACAAAAAAGAAATTTGAAGACACTTTTATTCTTTGGGTCTCTGGAGGATATTGTACATTTGGCATTAAATTAAAATAAAAAATAAAAATGCTTTAAATTGAAATTGCAATGTTCTTTTTTAGGTCCAAATGCATGGAAAATCACAACAAAAAAGAAATTTGAAAACACTTTTTTTCTTTGGGTCTCTGGAGGATATGGTACATTTGGCATTAAATTAAAATTAAAAAAAAAAAATTTTTAAATTGAAATTGCAATGTTCTTTTTTAGGTCCAAATACATGGAAAATCACAACAAAAAAGACATTTGAAGACACTTTTTTTCTTTGGGTCTCAGGAGGATAAACATAAACATAGATTTGGGTTTGAGCAGGCCCAGGTAGCAGCATAGCTCCATCATAAAAGTATTTCTGATTCTGATCATAACTCACTCGGATTGGTTGAGGGGAGGGTTTGAATGAGTCCAGGCTCAGATCCGGCCTCTGTGACGGTGTCCTGTGTTCTGGACGGCGGCAGGTGGGAACCGGCCAAGAGCACCGACCAGAGGAGCGTGGACGAGTTCTTCCTCAGGGACGTGGTGGTGCTGGACGTGTTCAGCTTCGTCTCCTTTCTGGAGCTGAAGTTCCTGCTGACCTTCCCCAGGAAGGTGTCCGTCATAAACGCCCGGGTAAGGAGCCACCGCACGGAGCGTTTTCCAAAGGTTGTTTTACCCCCAGCCTCCAAGATGATGTCACTTCCTGTTCAGAAA